GAACGCTTGTAGGTCCCCAACACGTTTCGCTGAAGCAAGAGCGAGAAGCAAAGCAGTTTTCAGGGAAAGCTCCTTGATCGCAATCGAAGCCAGTGGCTCAAACGGTGGAAGAGACAGAGCCCTCAACACTAGGGCTAAATCCCACGGCGGCACAAAAGGCGGCCGTGACGGACATAATCTCCTAGCTCCCCTGAGAAAACTGATCACCAACGCATGTTTACCGATCGACTGTCCTTCGATCGGGGGGTGAAACGCAGAAATAGCAGCCACATACACCTTCAGAGTGGGCGGTAAACTCCCATTATCCATCCTGTGCTGAAGGAAGCGTAGAATATCCGACACGGTGCAATTACCCGGGTCAATGCTGATATCCTGGCACCATTTAGAGAAAACTTCCCATTTCAATTTGTATAAACGCCTAGTGGATGGGGCGCGCGCCTCAGCGATAGTGCTCATCGCTCGAGAGTGCAGAGCGTCCCGCTCATTCAGAGTCCCCGCAGCGGCCACACATGAAGGTTCCACAGCCCGGGGTTGGGGTGCCATACCGTGCCGTTCGCCTGCGATAACAGGTCTCTCCTGAGCGGAATTTCCCATGGGGAGTCCACTAGTAATTCCATCATGTCCGCGAACCAGGGCTGATTCGGCCAGTTCGGGGCTACGAGAATCCCAGACGCTTTCTCCTCCCTGATTTTGCATAACACTGTAGGCAGAATCTTCACCGGAGGAAAGGCGTAAAGTCTGGCTCTCGGCCGGCGCGAAGTCAAGGCGTCGTTCGTCCGTCCCAAGGGGGAACGAGACAGCGAGAAGAACGCCTGGCAGTGCGTGTTCTCGCTCGAGGCGAACAGATCGACTTCCGCCCTGCCGAACCGATCCCAGATCATCTGCACCGATCCCGGGTGAAGCCTCCACTCTCCATGAGGAATCCCATTCCTCGAGAGCATATCCGCTCCGCGATTCAAAACACCGGGCTTTGAGGGCTAAGGATACCGCCATCAATTCCAAGCGGTTTATATGCCACTTTCGCTGCGACTCCGTCCATAAGCCTGAGGCAGTCGCGCCCATGCACACTGCTCCCCAGCCTGAGGTTGATGCATCCGTCAAGACTGCGGTGCGATGCGCCACGGTGCCCATCGGAACCCCTGAACTGAATAACGCTGGGTTTTTCCACGGTACCAAAGTGCGAATGCAGCTGCCGGTGACCGTGATGCGCCTGAGTCCGGACGACCACGCCCCCTGAGGGACTCGGAGCTTCAACCAGATTTGAAGAGGGCGCATATGCAACAGCCCCAGATGACACACTGGGGAGGCTGCCGCCAACAGACCTAACAGCCTCTGAAATTCCTTTTGTGGCACAGACCTGCCCGGTCTGAAACGGTTCCAATGATAATGTCAGAGACTTTATGCGCTCTTGAGAGAGATGGGCTCGCATCGTTATTGAGTTCAAGCACACTCCCAGAAATGTTATGGTCTGACTCGGTGTGAACACGCTTTTCTGTTCGTTTACACGCAGCCCCAGCGAGTCCAGGTGACGAAGTAGTATTTCCACATGACCGATTAGCACCTCTCGCGAGTGGGCTAGAATCAACCAATCGTCCAGATAATTTAGGATGCGCATTCCGCTCGACCTGAGGGGAGAAAGCGCCGCGTCCACACACTTCGAAAAGGTGCGGGGGGCAAGAGCCAATCCGAACGGGAGTACTGAGTACTAATAAGCTGTGCCCTCGAACGCAAACCTCAGAAAGTGCCTGTGGCGCGCTGCTATCTGGATATGAAAGTACGCGTCCTTTAAATCCACTGAAGCGAACCAATCCCCGGGACGAACTTGCGCCAGAATCTGCTTCAACGTTGTCATTTTGAACGCGCGGTTGTGAAGTGCTCGGTTTATGGGTCTCAGGTCCAGGATCGGACGGAGACCCCCCCCTCTCTTGAGTAGCACAAAGTAGCGGCTGTAGAAACCGCTCTCCCTCTCGTTCGGGGGAACCGGTTCTATCGCTCCTTTCTTGAGCAGACTGAGAACTTCCTGTCTCAGAACGGGAACGTTTTGGGGCAAAGTTAATGACGGGATCACGCCGTTGAAACGGGATGGTCTGCGTCTGAACTGAAGCGAATACCCGTGTCGAATTAAGCCCAACACCCACGGTGAAATGCCCGGAATTGATTCCCACGCACCCAGAAAACGACTCAGAGTGCGTGCTCGAACTGCGGTCATAGTCGCCCCCAGTGTAGTGTTTAGACTGGAGCCGCACTCCCGCGAGGCTGATAGCCCTGGTGGGAGTGCGGCTCGCAGTGGGCTGAGTGTAGTGCTGGCGATCTTGTGCCCATGAGATGCCATTATAGTCATCGAGTGTGACCCTGCGCTGTCTCGTGAAAGGGCGGGTGACACAATGTGAGGTGTAAGAGGAAGAAAAAGCTCTTTTTGTGAAGGGATACATGCTTCTATTAATTTTTTGGAGCAAACAACATTCACACATATGCAATCGTCGCTCAACTGAACATGAGGGACACGATGCATAAGAACACGGCGCTTGGAGGCCGGTCCTCCTTCGCGCTCTCTCTTCCTCTTGGCGCTCCGTCAGGAAGAAGGCTTTGACGCGGAGGGGGGCGCGCTGACCTTCCCTCGGCGTGGGCTCCTTCTCTGGCCCTGGCTCTTTCTCCCGGGTCCCGGCCACTGTCTGCCCCGGGAAGCGCGAGCATCCGGCTCGGTGCGAGGCGCCGCCGATTGTCTCACCGAGCTCTGGGGCTGGCTCCGGGTAGCCGATGACGAGCGCGAACGCTGACGAGCCGGGGGCGCTCGACGCGGGATCACGTGGCTCATGGCTTTAGCGCGTTTCTGGGTCTCCGAAAAACGCTCCGTGACAGGCTCCACCGCGTTCCCAAAGAGACCGGCTGGGGTGATGGGAGCATTAAGCAAGGTTTTCCGGTCGGAATCCTTGACATCAGACAGCGTCAGCCACAGGTGTCTGTGGAGGACGACCAGAAAACCCATGGAGCGACCGATGGCTTGTGCTGAGCGTTTGGTGGCCATCAGCGCAAGGTCCGTAGCTGAGCGGAGATCCCGGATGACGTCAGCGTCAACAGAGGCGACGCCATCCAGGGACTTAAGCAACTTCGCCTGGAACACCTGTAGAATAGCCATGGCGTGGAGAGCTGATACTGCCTCTCCTGCCGCTCCGTACGCCTTATCCGCTTGGTGGGCCGTGAACCTGCAGGCTAAACCCTCCCAGGTCCCCTTCAGTCCCGACGTGGGACCTTTCCACGGTTCTGGAGGCCATGAAAGGCGCCCCGTTCGAGCCAATCCAGCTGGTGGACATGAAACACCTGTCGTTCAAAACAGTGTTTCTCATGGCTCTCGCTTCAGTGAAGCGCATAGGGGACTTGCAGGCGCTTTCAGTAAGCGCGTCATGTATGGAGTTTGGGCCTAATGACTCGAAGGTCATTCTCAAAATGAATGTTCGCGCTCGTCTGTTTTCAGACAGACTGAGCAGCTTTTCGTTTTGTCTGGCGGGCGCTCCAAGGGACTTGCCGCCTCAAAACAGAGCCTATCCAGATGGATAGTGGATGCCATTGCGCTCGCTTACACTGCAAAGGGCCTGCAGTGCCCCTTGGGTGTCAGAGCGCACTCCACGAGAGGCATGGCCTCTTCGTGGGCATGGTCTAGCGGGGTTTCCCTGCAAGATATCTGTACGGCCACAGGCTGGGCCTCACCGTCTACATTTATAAAATACTATAACCTGGAGGTACCCGCCTTACAAGCTAAGCTTTTGACGGTCTAAAATTCAGTGCTATCTGCCCCGCTGTACGGCCCAGATGCTGAGTTTACTGCAGCCCCATGAGTGTTGACACACGTATGGCCACCCAGATCAGGCTGAAAGCTTTCACCCTGACTGCACGTTTTATTGTCATATGATAAGCCCCGCTGGGTGCTATTTTATAAGGTATGACGCTTCCAGCCTCTCTTCCTCCACTCTATGTGAGTTTATGGTGATTATGCACTTTATGAGCCCTGGGCTTCGGCCCCTGGGACTTTGGTGTTGGATCCCTGTACGCACAGCGTGTTGCATTGTGTTCCCCTAGCGTAAGCTATTACGCAGTACGAGAGATACTCTCGTAAGAGAACGTACTCGGTTACTAACGTAACCTCGGTTCTCTCTAGAGAGGGAACGAGTACTGCGTATCTTGCCGTGCTTGGAATACGCTCTTGGTTCGCTTCGGCGATGAAAACCAGCTTGTACCAGCCTAACGAGCATATTTATAGAGTGAGACCACGCCCTTTCTGGCGGGACGTGACGATATGGGCGCGAGTTGCCCCCATTGGTCATTACGTCACGCAGAGTCTCTCTCGATAGGCTGCTGCATTTGCCGCAAGAGCAGCCAATAGGCGCGCGAGCTGTCTCGCCTGTGTCTGCTTGCTGCTGCAAAGCGTTTTACATTAATACAAAATTAAGGATAATTTTTGGCTTCAATATCTCGTGGAAAAGAGGTTTTCCCCTAGCGTAAGCTATTACGCAGTACTCGTTCCCTCTCTAGAGAGAACCGAGGTTACGTTAGTAACCGAGTACGTTTTATATGCATTTTAAAACTACGGAATAGTGTGGTTGTACAATATTTAAGATGTTAAAGTATAATATGCTAACATATATAGGGCCTAAAAAGTCTGGCCACAGAGATGCTTTCCAAAATGTCTGATCTGTGGCCATGATGTGCACATGCAACATGAGCTTTCTATTAAGTTTTTTAACTCAATTAAAATATTCTAAGAATTCTTGTGTAAGTCATTGATTTTATACTTTCAGTTTGAATCAGTATGATTTAATGTGTTTTTGACTAAAGAATTTACATATTTCCTGTATGTATACGTGTCTGTCTTGCTGAGCATCCTCTACTGACAAACAATATGCATTACAAGCTGTAATTTTTAGAAAATTGAACTGTATAAATTAAGGTTCTACAAAGTATACCCACGGTGCATTTACTATACTGTGTCTCTCATCTTTACCCAGAAATAAACTGCCTTATCATAAATCTGGACTATGTTAACTGCACATGGAGTGAGCTTGGGCTCAAGTACAATTACAGTTTCAAGAGCAGGTGCGTATGTTGAACAAAAAAATTTGGATGCTAATATATCAGGAATAACAATATCCTTTGATTTCTCTTAGGTTTTTGCATCACGAAATTCTGGATTGTTCTACATATCACAAGATTAACAGTGTTAATGTGGGCTGCGCGTTTCCCTATCCCGAAAAAGGACGTTTTAATTCGTTGAACACATGGCTGTACAGTGACAACGGCAGTTTGGTGACAGAGCAGAACCATTCTCTAAAAGAATATGGTATGAAAAGTTATTCATATTTCTTACAACTTGACAACAACTGTATGGAAATAACTGGTTGATGGATTGATACGTTATACTGTGTTGCTAATCAGTGAAGCTTAACCCTCCGTTCAACCTGTCTCTGGTGGAGAGAAAAGATACTGAACTGTGGCTGTACTGGAATGTCACCAATGATGACAGCTGTATTGAGAGTGAAGTTCGTCACAGGACAGACAACAACTGGAAGGTATAAAATTAGTATTATAAAAAATAAATTCTGATTGGATGAGCTGCATTTGAAGCATGTGCACATTTTATATTTAATACAGTCTTTCATAGCATCTTAATTTATTATGATAAGCTCGTGCAGATATTCAGACAAACAGCAAGATTGGGATTTGATATTGCCTTTATGCAACTATTAAATAAACAAATAAAATGAATAAAAATAAAATATTCACCTTTTCACCTTGTGGTCGTCTGATAACCAGACACAAAACGCGGCACAGTTAACAGCTCTCTCTCTCTCCAGAACACCTCTCCGGGCAGCAGGAGTTCCTTCGTTTTGTCTTTTCCCTCCAAAAAACGGTATGAGTTCCAGGTCAGGGCTCGAATCTCATCATCCTGCGGAGAGTCCAAGTTTTGGAGCGACTGGAGTGAGTCTGTGTACAAGACCAACGACACAGGTACCGACGCAGCACGAACTTATCACATCTTATCTCACTGATCTATATATGCCTACCTACATATATGTTCTTCTTTACATAGATCAGTGGGCGTGACACGACAGATCAATTTTTCATAATAGCAGCCAATCAAAACAGTTCTCTCTGCTTTCGCACAATCGCAACGCACTGCAGCGCACAAGTATCTTGTAATTTTCGTATCTTCTGTTATGCTTTATCGGATTGGATGCTTTTTATGGATTTACATGTTAGAACGTGAGGTATTTGTCATAAAATCCTTCCACAATCACTTTCTTCACTTCGGATGATTGATATACATGTGGATGAGATTTCAGGGTTTATTCATTAAAGACGGAGTCTCTCACCGTTTCCACCTTATGGCAGAGAGTACCAATACCCACACTTGCAGTCATTCCACTCAACAACTTGTCTACTTGCATGACGTATTTCCTGTGTTTGGCCCAAGAAAGTGTTCAAATGGGCATCAAGAACTTGACTACCTGATGGGGCACGTTCACACTTGGCATGTTTGGTTGGATTAAAATGAACCCTGGTGTGTGCAGTTAATTTGAATGAGTGGGAACGTAAAAGACTACATGATAACAAATCTCCTCCTGGTGATGCCATCCCTGCACTGGTAATCACTCTCTCCATCTCTGCCTTAGAAAAAGGTACACTTAATGCTACAAAAGCTTTTGCCATCATCTCTGCTTTCTCCTTGTCTGTCACTGCCTTCTTCCCATTGACCAGTACAGGGTAGTCCCATTCCCTCCTTACGCCACCCATCTAACTTATCATCCCCCATACTTCTCCCACGGGTGTTATTCTAACTATTGAGCTGCATAACTCACTCCAATAATTACTCTCAACCTTGCGTATTGTCTTTTTTTTTTACTAATGCTTGAGTTATTTTATATTGTTACAAATGCTCATAATTATGAGTCCGTCTCAATTGCCTGAAGGCCCTATTCCTACCTCTTACAAATTCTCATAACTCCTTGAATTTTCACACAGTATTGTTTTGGATGTTCTGTAAGTTCTGTCTAGAAATATACGTCATAAAAGCCGACCAATCAGACCCTATGCCTTTAGGTTCGGTATCTTTAAAGGGATAGCTCACTTTGAAATTAATTTTTGGTATGTTTTAGTTTACCTCAAGGGCATCCAAGATGTAGGTGTCTTTGTTTCCGCAGTAGTTTCAATGGGCTCTATGCACGGCGGTATTTCCGGTGAAGGTCTAAGGATGCTGGATTACTTCCGCCGATCGTAGAGTCCAATGCTATACCGAGAATTTATATTGTTTTTTTACTCTATTGCTATACTAAAGAAACGTTAGTCACAAAAACAGACAAAACAGACACCCCTCATTTTGTTTATGCTTCTTTGTTTATTATATTAAATAAACATAACTATATTTAAAATTACATCTAAACGTATTAAAGTTTCGTTTCAAAGACGAGAGGACAGTACATTTTGAAGACTCTGCCATAATCCCGGTTTCCTCGGTTTTCCTCTGCTTTAAATCTCCCCAACCGGAAACGCAAGAGCATCCTTGCATCAAACGCGGAAGTTATGCGTGCATATAGCCCATTTTGATATTTTTAGGTCAAACCGTTCTTGTCTGTCAGTCATATAATCAGGGCCGTATTAAGACAGTGTGGTGCCCCTGGGCACTATACCTCAAAAGGCCCCCTATATTCAAATGTGTCAATTAAAAATGTACATAAATTAATTGACAGCGTTAATTCACGTTTGCCCAAAAATAATAATAAATCTATCAGGTTTCTTACCTCTACAGGCATGAAAAGGGGTCAGGGGTGAAAAAGGTGAGAAGGATATTACCCCTCTAGGGGGGTCCGGGGGCATGCCCCCCCGGAAGAAATTTTTTAAATATTCCATATTTTATAGCATCAATCTGATGCATTTTGAGATGCATTTTTTTTGCCAACCTGGGGAGAGTTGGAGAAACTTAACTTCAGCCATGAGTCAAAAATATTATGGCCTCCGTAGCGTTAGCTAATAATTTCCCACCAGAGCTTTAGCTAGCTGGCTAATGTTGCGTTCTCTCCTGATGTGTTCAACTCAATTCATCAAGCTGTAACTAACGTTAGCAAAGCCTATGTCAACAGAGCTCCTGGGTAACTTAGATATAGCCTACCAGAAAATATTAGGGATGTCCCGATACCATTTCTTCTGAACCGATCCAATCCGATACCAAAAAGTCTGAGTATTGAATTATACCGATCCGATACCAGCGCAGTTAAAAAAAAAAAAAAAAAATCAAGTAGAATTTCTATAACTCTGTGTGTTGAACTGATAATCACTATTTTCTGTTAAACACAATCTACTTAATACAGACAACTTCATTATAAAGAAAAACAACAAATAAAAAAAAATATGATCATAACCTATGACAAAAATTCTATTATATAAACTAGATTAGTGGGTAACTCAGCAGTAAAATTTAGTCTAGAAAAATCACAAGTGCACAATAATTGTATAAAATCGAACATTTAGTGGAAAAAAAAACATTATTTAGTGAGGAACAAATAAGAGACAATAAGTGTAGCACTAAATCTGGTAAAACGTTTTCATGTATTAAGTTTAGCAGAACTGCTCCTTCCTTGATTTTGCGCAAGCAAAGGTGTCAACTACATCCCCAAAGTCCATTTCTTTGTTACCGTCTCCACAGTTAGCTCCGGCTTCGTCAGACTCAGCGCTGCTAGTGATCGCAATTCCCGTGATGTTCTCACAAAAAATCTTTCGATACCTGGAACATTGTGAATTGTAGCTACGTCTAGCGTCGTTGTCTTTCTTTAACTTTCTTTTTGCAAAACCACTCAATTGACGTCTGTCCAGTTTTGATTTTAATTCATTTTTTTGTAGCCGTTAAAAAAATGACACATTTGCACGTATTTGTTGTGGACCAACGCAACTCTGACAGATTGGGGAGGGGGGAGTGATAGTGGTCATGTAATCTTTATTTATTTATAATTTATTATTAAATCATTATTGTTATTATTATTGTTAAATTGGTGTTCATAAACGATTTATTTATGGTCTGTCAAGAATTTCAAGTTAATAATATAACAATTTACGAAAAATATTTTTAATGCTTGACTCATGTGGTGCCCCCCTAGTGGTTGTGAATGGTTGGTGCCCCTGGGCACTGGCCCAAGTGCCCTTATGGATAATCCGGCTCTGCATATAATGCAGGTCTATGGTAACTTCCTCAAAGAGCATGCACAGAGAAGTCCAAATTAAACATGATTTAATGACTCGTAAATGTAAGTACACATTGATGGCCTAAGACACGAAACGAGCAGTTTGTGTGAGAAAACGAACAGTATTTATATCGTTTTTACCTCTTGTAACCACAGCCACGTCCGAGTGAGCTGACGGCGCGGGCGCTTCGGTCTGCGCAAGCGCCAGAAAACGCCGGAAGTGATCTCTCTGAAAAAGTTAAACGTTGTCTGTTGCTATATCGAAATCGTCTTCCATTGCGATTTCCTTTTATATTATCTAAATATGTTTAGATCTTCGCAGTGAAAGGTAACACTTCCGAAATCTCTGTGTAAACAATGAGTGACGTACACACGCGAGAGATCACTTCCGGCGCTTTCCAGCGCTTGCGCAGAGGCAGACCGAAGTGCCCGCGCCCTCAGATCACTTGGACGTGGCTGTGGTTACAAGAGGTAAAAACGATATAAATACTGTTAGTTTTCTCACACAAACCGCTTGTTTCTTGTCTTAGGTCATCAATGTGCACTTACATTTACGAGTCATTAAATCATGTTTAATTTGGACTTCTCTGTGCATGCTCTTTGAGGTGGTGACCATAGACCTGCATTATATGACTGACAGACAAGAACGGTTTGACCTAAAAATATCAAAATTGAAACTACTGCGGAAACAAAGACACCTACATCTTGGATGCCCTTGAGGTAAGCTAAAACATACCAAAAATTAATTTCAAAGTAAACTATCCCTTTAAGTTCGGTGTTAAAAATGCCAATGGGAACGCTAAGCTAACCAGGACTACATGTTTTTTTTTGGTCCTGACAAAACAAACCAAGTGAACCGAACTACAAGTGTGAACACACCCTTTATTTACAGCTTTATTTCCTCATTTTAATGTTCAGTGCTTTAAAGTAAAGTTCTAAATGTCTGTTCAGTAGTCTCTATGTGACAAATGACAAAGAACGGCTTACAAAAGCTTGTTATTATGTGATAAAAAGCGGTTGCAAACGTTTTACAAAATACACATACCCATCTCAGCAACAATAAAATGTGCAGCACTTTGTTTTACTTCCAAATTATATTTAATATATAATTAAATTAACATCTCACGATTTCAGGGCATTTGAATTCATGAACATGATGATTGATGGGAAAGGCATTAGAGATAGTGTGGATTTAGTGTGCATTTTTACCTTCCTAAAGCGTAAACGTATCATAAAATGTTTGCAGAGATTTAGGAAATATGCTAGTTGAAAACAATAATGAAAAGTACAGCAGTGGCATTAATGGCAACTCTTTTCCCAGAGAGTCTGGCTCCCATGTCTGTGACGACACTGGTGCTGTATACAGTGGGAGGCGCAATAATACTCGTCATACTCGCCTGCTTGCTGGTCCAAAGTGAGAGGTTTGAATACATTTTGTCTATTAACTACTTTACATTCATTCATTCATTCATTCATATTTTATTTATTTCATTCTTTTGAAAAAGAAATGAAAAGGAGCAAAAAGAAGATAAACTTATAATATCTGCCCCTTATCAACATAAGTCAAATTACAATTCCAAAAAGGTACGCTTACAACACACGTCTACTTTGCAGCACCAGTATGCAATGTCATAAATCAAATATCACATTTTCCTGCTAAATAGATGCATTATATTTTCCTATTAGTAATGTTTTTACACTCTTCTTAAAAACAAAAAAACGATATAGAAGTTTTAATTTCACTATTTAGATTGTTCCACAGACTGACACCTTGTATTGAGACACATCTTTCCTTTAATTTTGTTCTAAACTCGGGTTTCTGAAAGACTTCAGTTCCTCTTAAATTAAATTCACTAACTCTCTTGATGAATCTATTTTGCAGTTTATCAGGTAATATTTTCAGATGAGCCTTATACATTATTTTTAGAAGACTATATTCTAATAAGTCATTGAATTTTAAAGTTTTTAACTGTATAAATATTGGATTTGTGTGGGCCCTATATTCACTTCCATTTACAACGCGAATGGCACGTTTTTGTAATTTAAAAACAGGTTCTATATAAGTCTTGTTTGCACTTCCCCATGCTTCAATGCAATAGGTCAGATGTGGAACAATCAATGAATTATATAACAAAATTAAGGCACATTTATTAACAGATTCTTTTACTTTATGTAACACAGCTATAATTTGGGATACCCTAGATTTTACATGGTCAATATGGAATTTCCATGTCAACTGTTCATCAATCACAACACCTAAAAACTTAAATTCATGAGTCCTTTCAATCTGTACTCCTTGTACTGACAATGCTGCATCTAAATCCACATTTATACAACTAAAAATCATAAATTTTGTCTTACTGATATTTAAAGACAGTCTATTGGCGTTAAACCATCTAATAATTTTCCCAAACTCATACTCTACAACTTGTAATACCTCATTTATATTTTTGCCAGCATAAAATAAAGTAGTATCATCCGCAAACAAAATACATTTTAGTAACTTAGAAACATTTACTATATCATTCACATAAAGAAGAAAAAGTACTGGACCTAGCATCGACCCCTGGGGTACACCACAATTTATTGAACAATTTCTTGATTTTATGTTATTGATTTCAACAAACTGCTCTCTGTCTTTTAAATAACTTTTGAGCCACTGATGAGCTATACCTCTTATACCATATTTATATAATTTAATCAATAATATTTCATGATCTAGAGTGTCGAACGCTTTTTGCAAGTCCACGAAGACACTTACAGTAACATATTTCTTATCCATAGCATTGGTTATTTCTTCTACCAGTTCCAACATTGCTGTTGCAGTTGAATGATTTGACCGAAATCCATATTGACTATTTGTTAACAATTCGTTTTTATCCAAAAAATGTTTTAATCTATTCACAAATAATTTTTCTAAGATTTTAGATAACTGTGGTAACAGAGATATGGGTCTATAATTCGAAACATCATTTTTATTTCCTTTTTTAAAAATTGGAACCACTTTGGCTATCTTCATACGTTCTGGAAATTTCCCTGTGGTAAATGATAAATTACAAATATAAGTAAAAGGCTCCACAATAACGTCTATAATTTGCTTTATCAGTGACATATTCATATCTATATAATCATTTGACTTTTTATTTGCAAATCCAGACACAATTTTCAAAATTTCACTCTATTGTACCCTCTCAAGAAAAATGCTGTTTACACTATGTGGAATAATACTACCATCAATATTTTCATCTGGGATGTATTGTACTAAATTTGAGCCAATATTTGCAAAATAATTATTAAATTCGTTTGCAATTTCTTCTGTCGCATATTTATCTGAGTTATTCTTGGTTATAAAATCGGGAGTAATAATTTTGGGCCTGCCTTTATGCATGACTGTATTTATTACGCCCCATGTGTTTTTGATATTGCCTTTACTTTTGTCTATCAGATTGGTATAATAATCCTTTTTTTGTCTTCTTATAATTGATACAAGTTTGTTTTTATATTTTTTATATCTGCACTCTGCATCTTCTGTTCTTTTTTTAAAAAACATTCTATACAGATAATTTTTTTTTACAAGCATTTTTCAACCCATTTGTCATCCAAGGGTTATCAAATGATTTCTTCGCAGTTTGAACACAAATTTTGATTTGTTTACAATTTTGATCATATAAATTAATTAGTGTCGTCATGAAAGCATTATAAGCATTATTTAAGTCATTCGTATATACTTGATCCCAATTTTGCCTCTTAAGATCTTCTTTAAGATCCTCAATAGCTTTACTAGACTTGTCCCTTATGACAAAGAGAGAGTTATCTTGCGTGGTCTTAATACAGAAATTGTCATAAAATGTAAATACAGGGAGATGATCACTCACATCTATTGTAAAAATACCATTTATAATTTCGCCGTGTATATTTGTATATATATTATCAATAATCGTAGCACTATGAGTTGTGATTCTAGTTGGTTTGGTTATCATTGGGCATAAACCTACAGTTTCCATATAATTCCTAAAATCATTAGTTGCTATTTTGCTACCCAAATCTATATTGAAATCACCACATACAATTACTGATTTATTCTTTACATCGTCAAACAATTCTATTATTTTTTTTGTAAACAAATCAATAGCAGGCCCAGGTGGTCTATAAACACAAGTAATTAACACATTTTTTCCTTTGTCATTTATAATTTCTATCGTTAATGCTTCCATCAAATCAGTCACAGCTATGGTTTTATGCTCAACAACTTTACATTTCAATTTAGCATCAACATAGAGGGCAACACCTCCTCCACCTTTCCCCATCCTGTTTACATAAAACATGTTGTAACCATTGATCTGTACACTGTCAACTTGCATTTCCTTCAACCAGGTTTCTGTTACAGCAATCACTTTAAATGTCCGTTTTAAATCGCTAAGAAAGTTGTTAATCTTTGATAATTTACATTTCAAACTTTGGCTATTAAAGTGTATGATGGAAAATGCGTCATCGGAAAACCTTTGTGTAGTCCCATTGAACTCTTGTGTTGTAAAGTAGTGACATTCCCCAGGTGCTAGTATATTATGTGCAAAGACAGTTTCCATATCAAATATTTTATCACTGTTCATGTCAACATTTGGGACCATGATAGAAAAAATGAGTGCTTTGGATGTCGAATAGACATTCTAATAAACCATACATGCCCAGTCCAACAACAAAATTAATCCATTGATCTGACCACAATTCCCATTTTGACAAGATTATATTCATTCCCACAGGGTTCAACATCGGCATATCTTGAGATGTATCAAAAATGCAAAAAGGAATATATCCCATTATTTAAATTGTTCTAGATCCATCAAATCTCTTAACATCACAACTTTAGCTTGTTCCGGATTTGACCCATTAAGTTGAATGAATACCTTACAATTCCTTGTCCATGTCGCCTTGATTTTACCAATTTTCCGCATGGAGCGGGCTTCTCTTGCAATATTTGCCGTTTTCTGCGTTAAATGCTCATTCAAATACACCGCTCATTCATTTTAAACATTTTAGTTTAATAATTTTCCACAATAAAAGTCCATAAGTGTTTTATTTACTCTAAACTAATGTTTAATGTTCCTTAGATTAAGAATAATTTTAATACCAGTGGTACCAAATGCAGGACGAAATGTAAGCCAATACCTTGCATCCCTTTTTGACAATTATGATGGCAATATAGAGGTAAGCAGTTTTTTGTTTTTTAGTCATGTACCCTGAATTAGTTTTTTAATTCATAGAGGGGAATGTGAAAATATATCATCTTTTTTTTCACACAGAAATGGCTGTCCATGCCTAAAGATCTGGAGAACGGCTTCAAACCCAATTTCACAGAGCGTGCCTGTCCTGTGCGCGAGTACAGAATGGTGTCCCAGTCCAGCAGTGACAGTGAAAGCATCCTCTCAAACCCAACAGACCTGTCGTCAGATTACCAATCCATGCATAGCTATTCATCAGCCTCCACCATACCTGGACCTGCTGAAGCCCTACCAACCCAGGACCCATCTCAAGTGGATAACCCAGTATCTGTCTTAATCTGACTGAGGCAATTCAGTTTAAGAGTTTAGAAAAAATGTTATGAAATTAGGCAAGGCAAGGCAAGGCAAGTTTATTTATATAGCACATTTCATACACAATGGTAATTCAAAGTGCTTTACATAAAGAAATAGGAATAATTAAAACAGTTAAGAATAAAGAGATTAAAATAATCAAAAGAAATAAGAATAATTTTAACAGTTTAGAATAAAAAATAAAATACAGTACAAACAGTCGGACACAGTGGCACAGTGCTCATTCAGTAAATGCATAGCTAAACAGTAGTGTCTTGAGTCTGGATTTGAATGTAACTACTGTAGGAGCACATCTGATCTCTTCTGGAAGCTGCTTCCAGCTGCTGCTGCATAGTAGCTAAAAGCAGACTCTCCTTGCTTAGAGTGAACCCTTCGTATTTCTAGCTGATGTGATCCTAATGATCTGAGTGATCTGTTGGGTTTACATTCAGTGAGCATATCTGCAATGTATTTAGGTCCTAGGCCATTAAATGATTTATATACCAGTAATAATACTTTAAAATCAATCCTAAATGTAACTGGGAGCCCGTGTAAAGACCTGAGGACTGGTGTGATGTGTTCATATTTTCTGGTTCTGCTCAGAATCCTGGCAGCAGCGTTCTGTATGAGCTGCAACTGTCTTATGGTCTTTTTAGGAAGGCCAGTGAGGAGTCCATTCCAATAATCCACCCTGCTGGTGATGAAAGCATGCACAAGTTTCTCTAAGTCTTGACTGGAAACAAAGCATCTAATTCTTGCAATATTTTTCAGATGATAGTATGCTGATTTAGTTATTGCTTTGACATGACTACTGAAACTAAGGTCTGATTCTAGAGACACACCCAGATTCCTCACTTGATTTTTAGTGGTTAGACCCCTAGCGTCAAGGTATGCATTCACCTTGAGAACTTCATCTTTGTTGCCAAACGCAATGACTTCAGTTTTGTCTTTGTTTAACTGAAGAAAGTTTTGGCACATCCAATTGTTTACTTCATCAATGCATTGGCACAGGGAGTCAATGGGGCTGTAGTCGTTAGGCGATAGGGCTAAGTAGATCTGTGTGTCGTCTGCATAGCTGTGGTAAGAGATTCGGTTCTTTCTCATTATTTGGCTCATTGGGAGCATATATAGGTTGAATAGGAGTGGTGCAAGAATTGAGCCTTGAGGGACTCCGCAAGTCATGGATGTCCACTCAGACTTATGGTCTCCTATACTCACATAATAACCTCTCCCTTCTAAGTATGACCTGAACCATTTTAGAACTATCCCAGAAAGCCCGACCCAGTTTTCCAACCTGTCAAGAAGTATGTCGTGATCAACCGTGTCAAATGCAGCACTGAGGTCGAGTAGTACCAGCACTGATAATTTGCCTGTATCAGTATTTAAGCGAATATCGTTTATTATCTTTATGAGAGCTGTCTCTGTGCTGTGATGCGATCTGAAACCAGATTGAAAATTGTCAAAGTATCCATTAGAGCTTAAGAATTTGTTCAGCTGATTGAAGACAACTTTTTCAATGATCTTGCCTATGAAAGGAAGATTTGAGATCGGTCTATAGTTGCTTAATATAGTCTTATCCAGATTGCTCTTTTTCAGGAGGGGCTTGACAACTGCAGTTTTCAGGGAGTTTGGAAAATTCCCAGAGATAAGTGAGGCATTTACCACTTCTAGGAGATCTGCTTCTAAACAGTTTAACACACTTTTGAAAAAAGATGTGGGAAGTGTGTCAAGGGCGCAGGTTGATGTTTTAAGGTGCTGTACGGTTTCTTCTAAAATTTTGCCATCAATTTCTTCAAAATCAGACATAGTAGCTGCTTTCTCAGGTTGTGGTCTGATCTGTCTGACCCCAGTGCAACTCAATGATGTGCTGATCACCTTTCTGATATTATTGATTTTCTCAGAGAAGAACGAAGCAAACTCACTGCACTTGCTGTCTGAGAGCATTTCACTGGGAATCTGGCTTGGGGGGTTTGTCAGTCTCTCTACAGTAGCAAAAAGAGTGCGTGTTTAAGTTGCTGTTTATAATATTCGAGAAGAAAGTCTGTCTAGCTTTGCCTAGTTCCATATTGAAAGCATGGATGGTGTCTTTGTAGATGTTATAATGGACTACAAGTTTTGTCTTCCGCCACATGCGCTCTGTTTTTCTGCATTGTCTTTTCATATTTTGCACTGCTGTTGAGTTTCTCCAAGGTGCTTTTTGTCTACCACTATTCTTCCTGACTTTCACAGGAGCAATATCATCAATTACACTTTTAACTTTTGAGTTAAAAGAATCAAGGAGAAAATCAACAGAGTCAGCAGATAAGCTTGGTGTTGAAGATATAGCCTTCATAAATAGTACACTAGTGTTCTCATTTATGCATCTCTTCTTGACAGACACAGATCTAGCTTCAATGGCAGGAGAGATCAATATATCAAAGAAAATACAGAAATAATCAGACAGTGCTACATCCTTAATAACAATCGATGAAATGTTTAGACCCTTACTGATAAGTAAATCCAGAGTGTGTCCACGAGTGTGTGTCGGTCCGTGTACATGCTGAATCAAGTCAAAAGTTTTTAAAACAGTTTTGATTTCTTTTGCCATATTGGTTTCTGTATTATCTATGTGGATGTTAAAATCTCCAGCAATAGCAAAACAGTCAAACTCTGAGGAAATTGTTGATAACAGTTCTGTAAAGTCCTCAGCAAAGGCTGAAGAGTATTTTGGAGGCCTGTAAAGAATAATAAGTAAAATGCGTGGAACGCCTTTTAACACAATACCCAGATATTCGAAAGACGGGTAATTACCAAATGATATTTGCTTACATTGATAGACATCCTTAAAAAGAGCAGCTACTCCACCTCTCCTTACAGCTCTGCAGACACTCATAAAAGTAAAGTTAGGAGGAGATGTTTCATTGAGGACTGTTGCACTGCAGCTGTCTTTTAGTATTTTGTAAAATTAGTATTTTGATTGATGAAAAGCAGGACATTTACAGGTGAAAATGTGTTTTTTCAGGTTAAATAATGATAAAATCCAGTTTTGGTATTTTTCACACATTTTGTTTTTAAAATGCAGTTAGAGTGTCACGATTTGGTTATGTTTCATGTCTGTCATGTGATCCCCTGTTCAAGTCATGTGACCCTGCCAAGTGTTCCCTTGTCTGATGTGTCATGTTGTCATTGGTTCATTGTTCACAGCATAGACTGGTTCACAGGTGTCCCTTGTCTTGTCATTAGTCGTGTATGTATTTAAGCCCTCATGTTTGTCATGTGTCTTGGTCAAGTTTTATGTAAAGTGTTTCACTGTAACCATGGTTGGGAAGTGTCATGTTCATGTTTTTGAGTTCATGCCACGCCATGCTTTTGTTTTAGGTTTGATCTTGTTATGTATTAAATAAACTGCACTTGGGTTCTCTCTACATCTTGCCTTCAGTGGTTACACAAAGAAAACTTGACCAAGACACATGGCAAACATGAGGGCTTAAAAACACAAGACTAATGAAAAGACAAGAGACACCTGTGAACAATGAAACAATGACAACATGACACATCAGACAAGGGAACACATGGCTGGATCACATGACTTAAACAGGGGATCACATGAAACAGGAACAGGAAACGTAACCAAATTGTGACACAGTAAAGTTACATATCCAAACAAGGAATGATAATTTAAATGCTTGAATATTTTTATTTATTATGTTCTTTTGTTTAAGCAGGATAATGTAGTGTTTGCAATTGAAATTGCATTCTTTTTTTTTTTTTATAAAGATGGCGTTTGTTTTCTGTTCAGTTTGGGTAGCTCCGTCCATTATAGTAGTCATGTAACCACTTTTCATGTTTTTTGCCCTTGTTTTTATTAATTTGTGTGGAATTATTTTTCTCAACATGTTATGTTCACTGTTTTCAACATGAAATTTCTGTAGTTATTGGAAGGAAGCATACTAACAGATTTATTTAATGTCCGATAACATTTTTGTTAAAGCAAGAGCTTTGTATCATGTGTCTGATAAGAGATATATTTGGCAGAAAGTAAATTCTAGAGTATGATATGTGTACTGGTGGGAAAAGCCCTTCAGCTTCCAAACCATGATTAGAGTGCGTAATAGTTATTGTGATTCATGCTGCTGCCAATTGGCAATGTAGTTGCAGTTACATTTCAACTAGAGTTTAATTTTAACTAGACAAGTTGCTCTGGGATTTTACTTTTCAATTATTCTACTTTTCTTTATGCATTTATGCATTTAAAATCTTAAAATTAAACAATGTTGGTATGTTGCTTAAATGTATATTGGCATATTGATCATCAGTAGTACAAGTTTTTGGGATATTTGCACACAGATATTATGCTTAAAGAATTTAATGCTAATCATTGCACAAAACAGCTAAACTATCACAATGTCTGTAATGATTATTTACACATTTGGATTAAATTATTCTTTTTATTTAATTTTTCACAGTCAATTCTGATGTTCGAGCTGATGATGAAGTGGGATGCTTATGCTTATTACTGCAAGAACATAAAATACAATTCATATTCATATTTATGAAACAAAAGGTACTTTTAGGTACTTGGCTAAAACTTAATGTGATGCTGCACTAAAGAATCATTAGACAGGTCTTAGCAACATGAACATTTTAAATGATTAGAAACTACCCCAAAATAAATAAAACTACCCAAAAACATACTATCCATAAATAGCATGCATTTTTTTTCTACAACATAATTTCTAAGTATAAATGTACATAAATCATGGTTTGTCACATAACATGATAATAGTTTTGTTAGTTTAAAGCTGCTGTCCGTAACTTTTTTCAAGTTAAAAATAATCCAAAATAATTATTTAAAAAAAAACATATTCAGCCAGTGTTCAAAACTATCTGGTTGCCGTAGCTCGATTCAAAACGGTTAGCTTGTAATAATGATTTTATTTCCAGTGGTACTGGTGGGTTTCCGCGGGAAATTCGAGCATGTCTTTGCGTCATTACGTCACATTCGTACACATAAAGGAGT